CATACCATTCGCAATAGCTACACAAAAGCTGAAATACAACAACAAAGAGCTGTGTGAAGAAAACTATAGTACATTTGTATAAGAAACCAAAAGGGAGCTACACAAATGAAAGAATATCCCCTGTTCATGGATCCGAAGCCTCAATATTGTGAAAATGTACTACCTAATGCAATCTATAAAATCAATGCCATCCCAATCCAAATTTCAGCATCGTTCTTTAAAGAAATGGAAAAACTGATTACCAACTTCATATAGAGAGGGAAGAAGCCCAGGACAGGCAAAAAACTCCTTAAAAAGAAGAACAAAATAGGTGGTCTTATTACACTACCTGACCTCAAAAAACCTACTATACATCACACAGTTGTCAAAAACAGCCTGGTACTGGTATGATAGATACTCATATACCAATGGGTCAGGACAGAAAATCCAGAAATAAAAACATCTGCATACTGATTTTTGATAAAGGTCCAAAAAGCATTAACTGGGAAGCATCTCCCTGTTCAATAAATGGTGCTGTGGAGGGGCTAGTGGACTTGAACTGTTGACCTCATGGTTAATATTTCTATGCTTAACATATGGTACCACCAGTGCTTTTTACAGACATTCATATACCTGTACAAACTTTTAAGAGTCATGAAACATACATTAATGGCTTGTTACTGTCTTAGTCCATGTATACTCTTCATTTTTGGTCTGTTTTATTTCCAAAGACTAGTCAGTATTTATAGAAATTCTGGTGGCATAATAGGTTATGAGTTGGACTGCTAGTGACAAGATTAGCAGTTTGAAGCTACCAGCCACTCCTAGAGAGAAAGATGAGACTTTCTGTCTATAAGAAAGACTTACAATCTCGGAAATGCAACGAGGCGATTCTACCCTGTTCTGTAGGCTCATTATGAGTCAGAGTTGACTTGATGGCAGTGAGTTTGACAGTTGGCTTTGAGTCAGTATTTGTTAGATGAATTAAAACATCTACTCCATACTTACCACCATGTTACCTGACATTTCACATTTAAAAAAATCTATTTTGCATGTAAACGTCTGGCAGTAACAAACACTGAGGTGTAAGGCGTAGAGCAAAAATAACACTGACAGTGAGGTTAAAGGTTATGTATCAATATGGCTGGACCATAGTTCTCACTGGCTTGGCAGCGCAGGGTTGATGTCACTTATTTCTGTGTGATGCTAATTCTCAAGCTAATAATCTTCTTTGTAACCTATCCACATTGATAAAGTATGAGTTGGGTGTACTGTGTGACTGGTGCTTTGAAGGAAAATGACATGTAATGTGGCATGATAGAAGGCACTTCACATTTTTCCCTATAAAATAGCCCTGTGGTTAATCTTATAGACAGAATACAGAGTTTGTATGGCCCTCGATTCTGGCTTCGTAGCATTTCTCCTAAGCTCTTGATATTCATTATACCTATTTTTACATTTACTTCTTTTTAAAAATGTCATGAAAACGTGAATTCAGTTTTTTGTGTGTAATTCAGTCAAGTAGTTCTCAGACTTTTAGAATCTAGAGGACTCCTGATGATAAAATATGACCCAGTATTGTCAAAGACTTAGATCTGGATCAAAAGACCAAACTAATAGGTGTTACACAATAAAGAATCTTGCAGACTGGTTTTTATTGTTAAATATTTTTGTGCTAAAGTTGCTCATTCTTCACGGGTGATAATCTCTATATTATGACTCAAGGTGTTATTTAGCTAAAAGGTGAATTCAAGGTATAATTTTAGTTTAAAATTTAAGAGTATTTCACAGCAATTGCCATTACCTCAACCAGTCCACTAAGTGAACTTTTTAAGAATTTGATCCTGTTCCACATTTTTCTGCCATTCTACCAGGATCCTGCCATTGTGATTCTGATTAGAGTGATTGTAGTGGTAGCCACACACCATCTGACTCTTTTGATCTCTGGGTAGATGAGGCTGTGGTTCGTGTAGAATATTTAGTCTGGGATATTTTCTTTTGTGTCTTTATTGTCCAGAAGAGGGAGACCAATAGTTGTATTGCAGTTCATTTCTAAGTATTTTAGTATTTTAAGTGATAGGTTGTATTATTTAGATTATTTTTTGTAGAAAAAGAAGAGATAACTCACTGGACATCTGGATTTGGAAAACATGGAAACCTGAATTTGTGAATGCTGTAGTACATATTTGTTGAGGGGGAAAGTAGATGTTTTTATTTTCGTGTGCTTTCTATTTATGTATACTATAACCTTTTTTTTTTTTCTCCAAGTATCAAGGTCATGCTTATCCTTAAACCACAAATATCAATATCAAATATCAATAGGAACCTTAAACTCAAAGCTCACTGCCATCGAGCGATTCATAGTGACCCTGTTGGACAGGGTAGAACTGCTCCTGTGGGTCTCAGACTGCAACTCTTTATGACAGTAGTAAGCTCCGCTTTTCCCCCTCAGGGCGGCTGTTGGTTTTGAACTGCTCAAGGAATAACCACTATACTCCCAGGGCTCCTGATAAGAACCTTAGAGGTGGTAAATTTACTTTAATGGAACAAAAGGAGTATGAGAACGGTTGCAAAACCTGAAAAAAAATGTAAGCACTGTCAGTGAATTGTGCATGTAGAATGGGTAGAATTATTGTACCCGCTGTGTATACTCTTAACAACAAAAATGGAAGGTTTATTTTTAAAAGTCATGTTTACACAAATGAGCCCTAAATTTATGTCTGACCATGAAGTACCAATAAAATTTGTAAAAAAATCATGTCTAGCCTTTATTCTTCTCTTGAGCTTTGGAGCCAATTTCCCGTCACCTGTATGTATGCCCCAAGTGCGCCTCACAGTGAGCTATGCAGAATGGAGATGCGTCGTCTTCCTTCCCCAAGCTCGTCTTTTTTTCTATCTCAATTTTTTTCCAATTCAACAACTTCTATATGTATAATTCAGTGGTCTGGATTACATTCTTTATGCTGTACATTCATTATTGATACCTTTTTCCAAATTATTCTAGCACCATTCACATAAGCCCAATGCCCCTAAGCTAAAACTCTTCCTCTTTCACCTATGGTAACTGTTGGTCAAGTTTAGTGGGTGTTTTAGTAGTTTTATTGATATAATATTCACGTATCATACATTCCCATAGTTAAATCATTTTTAAAAGAGTTGTATATACATCACCACATCAGTTCTAGTGCTCTTCCACTCCTTGTCCCAGATTAACCATTGCATCACTTGTTGTCTCTCTGCATTCACTCATTCTGTGCTTCATAAACTGGAAAACCTAACAAAAACAACAGATAAATAGTAACAATGTTTAACATACCAGAGAAGACATTTATGTCTTGAAACAAGCAAGCAATATTTGAACCTAGAGCAAGTTGGGTCAAGAGGGGGGAGGTCCACTGACAAAGCATCCTATTTTACTATGGTTGGATCAACCATAATCAACTTTACGATAATCTCTTTTCAATAGTAAAGCTGTTCCAGTCCCTTACCTGTGGCTAGAGGGAATCTTCCAGACACTTAATCTGACTAGATAGTGTGCACATGGATTTTGGGCTCCCACTGTCCTCCATAGCCTTCTACAAATTAGGTTTTCACAATTTAAGCTCTGATAATTTTCCCTTCACATATTTGGATTTTATTATTGTCATCTTTGGATCACACAGGCTGGTGGGTTTCTTTCATGTAGAATTAGTTTGCCTCATTTAGATGGCTCCTTGCTTGAATATAAACCTTTAAGACCTCAGGGACTATTCTACATGATACCGGGCATCATCTACTTTCTTCACTACACTTTGCTGTAGCACCCTTATCTTCATTGAACTCTTTAGGAAGGTGAGTATGGAGCAGGGCCAAACTGTTCTTGGATTGGGGCTAGAATGAAGTGGGAGCCCTGAATCCGTCTGCTTGCCCATGGGTTATGAACAATCTGGTTTTCTTTAGTGGTCATATGACAAAAATGAAACCCCTCAAAACAAAAAAAATTTTTTTGAGCACATTGTCCATCATCCCCCCTGGGTGTAATGCGATTGGATTGATAACATCAATAATTTATCCAGTGGCATAGAATTTAAGATACTCTTGGTATGAGGAGTTTATGCGAGTATAGTCCAACAGTGAGCTGCAATCCAGTAGTTGTTGCTTTGTACAGATCAATTTCTTAAGTGATTGAGCTCTGTTTACATTGAGCCTGGGGATTGGTGTTAGGGGAAACTTCCATGTACCATTTCTTATACGGACAGATCCTTGCCTATCAGATGTGACACCTGCCGTATTAGTGCAAGGGGAATACTGAGGCTCTAACTAAATATTGGGTGGTTCCGAGTCCTTTTTCCTTGAACACCCGCTAAGCCAGGGGTTCCACAAGCGGTCCAATAGCTGCTATTTTACAGGCTTGGGGTAGCCTTCCTTCGCTTCCTTTCCCATCAGAGTATTTCAGTCTTAAGTCCAAGGGTGCAGGTGGTTTTGAGGTAGGGCCCACTTTTTTCAGTCAGGCTTCCACGTTGAGCCCTTGTGGTGTGGCCCTTGGAATGGGGGTGGGGGTCAGGATACCATGGTTCCCTTAAGGCCAGCCAGTATGTAAGGTCATCATAGTGCTCATCATAGTGCTTAGTCCATGGCGTGGTTCACTAAGGATTGGGTACAAACATCCAAGTGTCTACCCAGCGACATAGAACCAGGAACAGAGAACCTAGGTTCTCTACAGTTATTGTTTAACTTCCTTTCCCGATGTGAAGTTGATTCTCCCCTCCCCATTTTCCCACGGTACCCACCAACAGAAATATCAGTGCCGCCTCTAAAATGTAAATACTTCAAATATTTTAATTAAAATGTAGTCATCTTTTTAATCATTTAAACTGGAAATTTCCACATCATTCTAGTTCTCTGCCCCCCTCATCCCCACCCCCAAGCATTTGCCAGTTTCTGATCATTCTACCTCAGAAATGTCCATTGCAATGTAAATTTTGTATGCGACTATAGTGCAAAGAGCAGTCTGATTAACATTGGATTTTGCCTTCTGACAGAATGTAGAGCGATATTTTCCAGTGTTAAAAAGGAAAACAGACCTTCTGAGACAAAATGAAGTGCAGGGGAAACCAGTTGCAGTTCTCAAGAGACCTAACCAGTTAAATAGAAAGTAAGTACTCACATACAAGATAATAATGTATTAGCGTGTGTAAGTAAAGGTAAACTTTTTTTATTATTGGTAGTAAGTATTGAGAAAAATTAATTTGCAGTAATCGCTCCTAGTTTTCTGGTCATTTTCAGATATTTGGGCTGTCAACAGAAGCCTGTTCTAAATAGGTTCCTTATTTCTTAGAACTAGTTACTGATAGCGTTAACTAATTATGAAGCTTTAAAAGGTATCACTCTGCTAGTTAGTTCTGTTGAGATATGGCATAAAATAGCAACCACTGATTGTTTGGGTTAAAGTTTAATATTTCAGCCAGAAGTGCTCAACATTAGGAATTTTGAAAGCTGAGTTTATTATTCAACCTTGATAACTCTTAATAGAACACTCAATCAAAATGCATGTGATTTCGTGGAAAAAAGCCAACTAAAAAGTCTATATAAATGCTTGTTCTGCTGAAATTGTTTTTAAGTTAAAAGACACAACGAACACTTAAAAATGATGACTGATTGTCACATTGGTGTTCAAAACGGAGAGGAAGCTGATGAGCCTGCTAAGTTCTTTATTTCAGTCTCAAGAACCATCTCGCCATCTCTTAAAACTATAATTGGAAGTAAAACCTGGAATGGTGAGGTCTTTTTATAAATAGAGTGACTAGAACTGATTTTTACTTAGCCATATTTTTCAGAAACCATCTACTATAGTACCTTTTGAAAAGGGGAAACTTTTCCAAGAAGAACCTGTTATTTAATAGGATTGCCTAGGGAATTTTTGCATTGAAAACCTCCATAAGGTTGGAAGTAGATGAGATAATCTTTTAAGCACGTTAATAGATAGATATGAAATTTTGCTTTTTCATACCATGCTAGCCTCCAATAAAAAACCAGAAAGGAGTTGGTAAAAGCCATATTAAACAAAAAGAAAATGTGTGTAGCCTTCTCTGGTTTGTTTTAATAGATAGGGGTTTGGGAAGTGAAGCGGGATGAGAAAGCTGGAGGGCAGGGAGTGGTACTTTTTAAAGAGGGTCTCCTTGTCTCATTTGTCAGTGGTTTCACCAGGGTGTGGGTCCTCCTAGATGTGGTTTTCTATTGATGGTGTAGTGGTAGCATTCTCACCCTTCATGCAAGAGATCAACATTGGGTACCCAGCTGCCCTCTGTCAGTGTGGCTTCCTTGATGCTGAGGAAATTTCACTGGAGCTTCCAGGGTAAGACAGACTAGGAGGAAAGACGACTGATCAACTCCAGAAAACTTGCCAGTGAAAACTCTGAGACAGGCAGCAATCAGGGATGGTATGTGTGCGTGCACTTGCCATGAGTTGCATGATAGTTTGACAGCAGCTACCAATTCTGTAAATTGATGTCTCTGACCAAATTTAGAAATGTAGGTAAATGTTATTTTTAATGTTGTATGTGTTTAGGTATTAGAGAGTTGAGTATTTAGGACATAAATTAGTTTTAAGCTTACCAGGTTGTTATGTGATGGCTACAGAGGGAGAAACTTCAATAGCGGCATGTAAATGAGACACTTCAGAGTCATCTTTACATTGAGTGCATCTTAAATGTTCAGCCTGTGAATTTAGCAGGTCCTGGTTATTTTTCTCAAGATGTTTTTAAGTTGTCCATTTAGTATCTCTGATTATTCATGGTGTATGTGCTTTTGTTGCAGAAGTAATATTCCAGCCAACTTTACCAGAAGCGGAAATAAATTAAGCCACCAGAAAGACACTCGTCAGGCAACTTTTCTTTTCAGAAGAGGCCTGAAGGTATAAAAATACCTTGATGGTGTTTCTGTTTTACTCAAACAGAAAACCCTGAACCTTTAGCAAGTCTCAATCATAAGCATGACCTCTGGGTAGAAGTTGGGTTTGGGCGTAGGAAAAAAAATTATGTTAGCCCTTTCAGTTACTTTTTTTTTTCCTGTTACATTTTTCCTATTCTCTCTTAATTCTTTATTTCTCTCAGTAGTAATGTTTTATAAGGGTTTAGTGTGTTATTTAGGAGTAACCTTGTATTTGCCACTTATTCTAATACAGGAACTTAATATAGAGAGAGACGTTAAAATAGGCACACTTCCCCCACCCCCTTTCTGCATTCATGTACACATCACCTTGGCTTATAAAGTTGTAAAGCAGGATATAACTCTTTGGATTCAAATCCTTTATTTTCTTTAGGATCCTTCTGCTTTTTTTCTCTTCAGGTTCAGGCCCAGTTGAACACAGAACAACTGCTAGATGATGTAGTAGCAAAGAGAACTCGTCAGTAAGTTTCTTATTTGTTTTACAAGATACAATTTCACGATAGTACTCCTAGATAGTAGCTCCCCAAATTTTCAAGTTCCACATCCAAAGAGAAATTAAGTGAAACCAAAAGTCTATTAATCATTGAACCTGAAGGAATTCTGTTTTGTTTTTGCTTTTTCAAAAAAACTTGCAAGTTTTCAGGTGTCAGTATTGTAAGAGTTTAGACTGGGTACATTGTTCTATTTGTATGAATTATTTATTCCATTTTAATCAACAGTTTTCCCCCATAACTATGTTTATACAAATGAACTATTTAGAGAATAAATAGAAGCAAATCCTAGTAGGACTTTCAGAAAATGTTTATAATAGTAAAATATTTTTTCCTACACGTAATTCTCTTGTATCTCACCCTATGAGCCCTTCTGTGTTAGAATTAGCTTTTTTCAAGTGTGAGTGATTGTGTTCTTTTAATATGATAAGACTTTCCTATTAAACTATTTAGAATTAAGACCCTTTTTAGAAAACAAAGCATGGTTTCGTGGTCTAGATGATGCCAACTAAAATGGGACATGGAGCAGAACAACTGGGATGTAAGAAAGAAGTAAATGCTATTTGAATTTATTTGAATTTGATGCTAGCGGTATTTATTTTAGCACAAGAACCATGGTATTGGGAGCCATCATGATCACGGCCTATTTTTTTCTACATTGAATAATATTTATATAATTTTACTATTGTAGTTTTTTATTTGTTTTCAACTTTCAGACTCTACCTGTGGATAAAGCATATTGATACTTTGGGAACAGGAAATAATGTAAATGTCCAATTTTGGCTAGTGTAAATCTAAAGATAGCACTTACAGGCAGAGGAAGGTACAAAGTGGGAGAACAGATGGAAAGGAGGAACCTAGAGGTACTGCTGTCCTCATAAAACGGGGTGTGTGTGGTAAACTACTGAACAAGTAGAAATTCACTTACATAATGTTAGAGTGGACGTAAAATAGTGATTGCCATCAACAGTAGAGTCATTCTTACTTGTCATGGTAAGATTTTAATACATAAGCCTCTTGTTTAATGACTGCAGTTAGTCCTCGAGTAGTAAAAACAGGAATGATTAGAAGACCTATCTCTGAGGAGCAAGAATGTGAAGGGAGAAAACAGTGGGGTGAAAGACTTGGTTTTCCTTAGAGGCCTTTGGGTAATACTAATTTGTTAATGTGCGCATAGTTATTACACTGAAAAACAGGAGATAAGTTCAAGTGTCCAATTTCCATACTGGATTTATTATATTGTGGTGTGGTCCAGATGTTTATATTTCTTATAAACTAAGAAAAGGTTAGTGCCTATTTTGAAAAAAAATACATTTTCATGTGGAATACATTAGATCATTTGTAAACTGCCATTCTAATGAAATCTGTGGCTTTTTTGAAACTAGATGGCGGACTTCCACCACAAATGGAGGAATTTTAACAGTATCCATTGACAATCCTGGAGCAGTTCATAACCCAGTGTAAGTTTTATGATAACATTTTAGTATAGAAGTTAATAGAAAATTATTTGGCTTCTTCTCAGAAGATGTCTTTGTTGGGTACAATGAAATGCATTTTCGTACACAATGGAACTAGGATAGAATGAAACCGAAAAACTCAAGGCCATCCAATCAATTCCGACTCTGTGGACAGAGTAGAACTGTCCCTATGGGTTTCCGAGACTGTCACTTTTTGCAGGGTTAGAAAGTCTCATCTTCTGCACAGGGGCTGGGGGTTTTGAACTGTTGGCCTTGTGATTAGAAGCCCAATACGTAACCCACTCTGCCACCAGGGCTCGCTAGAAAGCTGAAAGTTCCTACAAGTCCTGGTTCTCCAGCCTCATGGTAACTACCTTTGAGGGTTCTTTTCATATTCAAAAATACGTTTCTCTACGTTACTGCATCAGAACTGACTTGAAGGCACCTGACAACAACAGTGTATATACAACAATATATATGCTTATAGTACATAGTTATATATATGTATGTATAACTAAATAAACAAGATAGTACTGTGCATACTTGTTTCCTTCTCTTACTTGTTTCCTTCCCCCCTTCAAAAAGTTTGTGGAAAATTTCTCTAAGCTTTTAATTCCATTTTTTCCACAAAAATATTGAAACCCCCTCATATTTTGGATGACTACGTTTTAAGACATATAGTTATACTTTCTATGAATATGCCTTGTATTCTATGTATTTAGAGTTAATTTCATTATATTTATTTCAAATAAACATTCTAATTTATAGAATTTTTAACCTATCCAACCATCTTAGTAATTAAAATGTACAGGGCACGATTGAAATTAACAGAAGGATGAGTTCAGGCATGTAAATCACAAATCATTCTTAATTGTTGGCAAGTTCTACTTAAGGGAGGTATTGTGTTAGTGGTTACAAATTTTAGTTTTTAACTCAGAAGCTGGATTCTTTTTCTTAAGAGCACAAATAAAATAGCCCTAACTTAATTGAATAGGTATACATGTCAAGCTGTCTTAAGTACCAAATGATGTTTTTCTTCCTTCTACTGTTTGTTTTTTTTCCTCTTACTGCTTTTGCTGGTCTGTTTTACTAGAACTCAGAAACCACGATTAACTCGTACCTCTGTACCATCATTCTTGGCAAAACGGGAGCAGTCTGATGTAAAGAAAGTTCCTAAAGGTGTTCCCCTACAATTTGACATCAATAGTGTTGGAAAACAGGTACATTTTTCCCTCTATATTATTTTGACAATTCACTGAAATATTTTAATTAATAAAACAACTTGTATAATGAATTGAATAAGGTGCCCTAGCCCTGTCCCCCAACAAAATCCTAATTTTGTAGTTTTTGCTTTAATGTTTACTTTTTCTAATAATATATTATCTGTATTATTTCTAGGTTTTGTCCTTTTGTTTTTATCTTCAAGTTGCTTTACTTCATTTTTGTGTAGGTGACCTGGAACTCAATCATTTGCTTTTGTCATAACTTTGAAACCTAGGTTAGTTTTTCCTGTTAAATATACTTGTAGTCACCTTCACTACTCCTCTGTGACATGTGTTGTGTCCCCATTATATATAGGAGGAAGCATTTAAGAACTAGCGGAAAGTTGTGTATTTCATTGTTGCTACCCTGTACTCTGATTGGCTTGTCTCCTCCCTGTGACCCTTCTGTAAGGGGATGTCCAGTTGCCTACAGATGGGCTTTGCCTCCCCAGTCTGCACTCCCCCTCATTCACAATGATAGGATCTTTTTGTTCTTTGATGCCTGATACCTGATCCCTTCGACACCTCACGTTCACGCAGGCTGGTGTGCTTCTTCCATGTGGGCTTTGTTGCTTCTGAACTAGATGGCCGCTTGTTTATCTTCAAGCCTTTAAGACCCCAGATGCTATATCTTTTGATAGCCGGGCACCATCAGCTTTCTTCACCACGTTTGCTTATGCACCTCCTTTGTCTTCAGCAATTGTGTCGGGAAGGTGAGCATCATAGAATGGCAGTTTAATAGAACAAAGTGTTCTGACATTGAGGGAGTACTTAAGTGGAGGAGGCCCAATGTCCATCTGCTTCCTTAATACTAAACTTATAAATATATGCACATAGATCTGTTTCCCTGTCATATATATAAATATATTTACATATGTGCATACCTGTATTTAGACCTATAAATGCCCTTTGCCTCCCAGTTCTTTCCTCTATTTCCTTTTACGTTCCTCTTGTCCCTCTATCATGCTCAGCCTTCATTTGGGTTTCAGTATTCCTCTCGGTTACATTGCCCTTGATCAAACTGAACTAGGCCTCTTATACCTTCCTTGCCACCGATTTAGGATCACTTGTTGTTCCCTTGTCCCTGGATTTGTTAACACAACTTCCTTTCCCTCTACCTCCCTTTCTCCCCTGTCCCCCCCCCCAAACCATTGGTCCCGTTCTTTTCTCCTCCAGATTGTTTATCCCCCCCATCTTATCTAGAAAGACCTGCAGAGATAACAATATGCACAAAAACAAGACAGAGCAAAACAAAGCAACAAAAGAATGCAAAACAATAACAAACCAATGACCAAAAAAAGGCCTGTAAATCGTTCAAGGTCAAAAATAGTTCAAGAACAAAGTGTTTTTGCATTGAGGAGAGTACTTGAGTGGAGGCCCAACAGATAATTTACTTTCTGTTGAGCACTTGGTATCAATTCCTCTTCCCCCCCACTCCCACACACCCCTACCCCCATGCCTCCTTGATAAATTATTATTTTCATACTTATACTGACCGCTGTCTCCCTTCCCCCATGATTTCTGTTGTTCATCCTCCCTTGCGTCCTGTTTTTATGTGGAGTTAAGCTCCCTACCTTTTTTCTGTAAACTTTTTCAATCATGATTTACTGAAGGAACAACTTCCTGGAAGCTAGGCGATGAAGAATAGTGGAAACCCTTGATATGTGGGAGATGGTGGCTGAATCGTACTCTGTTCCATAGTCTGGAGATGCCCGAGCCAACTAATGTTTCTTTTCTGAGTAGGGCTTTCTGGGCTGTTGAGTAATAGAAAGAAAAAAAAATTCCGCTTACCAACTTGTCTACATGTTTGCTTTTTAAAAGATGCTAATCTGCTGATACCAAGGGCTCAAGTAGAAAGCAATGTTTTGAGAATGATAAGGGCACCAAATATACAAATGTGTTTGACACAGTGGATGGAATTATGGATTGTGGTAACAGTTGTTCGAGCTCCGAATAAAATGATTTTTTTTAAAAAGATGCTAATCTGTTACATGTTGCTAAAGCATATTTATTTCTGCATCTGAAATACACTAGAATAAATCATTCTTGTTCAGATAATTCAAAGCTTTGCCTTTGGTACCTATATTTGGTACCTAGGAGAGGAAGTTAAAATGTGTGCTTATAGGGTATCTTATTTTCTAGTAACATAAATTTGAATTACATGTTGACAAGGGAGGGATTACCCAGCATTTATAGCCCTTAATTTTGTGCTTGATCCAGCACATCAGAGCTTAGGTGATTGGGGTGTGTATGTAAATAGGTTGGATTTTGAGTGAGCTGATAGAGAAAAGAACCCTGGTGGAGAGGCCCTGGATTCAAGTTCTGGCTTTGCTTCACTCTATGAGCAGAATGAAATGTTGCTTCCCTTCTAGATTTTTAGTTGCTTCATCCATAAAAAGATAGACTTGGTTAAGTAACTTTTAAGGTCCTTTCTAGCTCTAAAAATCTACAAGAAAATATTAAATTGTAAGCATTGATAAAAATACAGTAAGAATTCTTTTGAAAATTACAGGACCTAGCTTTTTTTTTTATATCATATATTCATTTAAAATAAATGTGGTGTTTTTTTCTGGAAAAGTTTTCCATTTTTAAATTCCTTATATTTTTTTGTTTAGTAAAGTGCCTTTTGTGTTCCTTCTAAGGCATTTTTGCCAAGCCCATAACCACTAAGACATCCTCTTTTGTTTTGTTCTTGGAGTTTTATACTTTTAGCTGTTACATTTTCGTTTAGGTCCATTTACTTATTAATTCATTTTTGGCACGGTATTGGAGGTAAGGGCTAGGGTTGTCTTAGCTCTCGCTCTGCAGTTGTTCTGGGACGGCTGGCTGAAAAGATGAGTCTTTGCCGCCGCGTGGATTGCCTGGTTACTTTTGGGGGCAGACTGCAGCGGGTACTTGGAAAATTCCCTTAGCCTTTAATTCCTCATAACCCCATAAACCATGATGTTATGTGTCTGATTTGACCCCTGCATGACACTGTTTTAAGTACCCTAACAAAGTCTTGAAATCTGGTAGTACTGTATATACCTGCTGGCTTTATTATTTTAAAGTTATGAGGATCTAGCCTGAGTTGTATAGATCCTTAATAACCAAAATATTTGCCGGATTGTTTTTTCGGTAAGAATTTTTAAAGTTTGCTGAATGTTTTAAGGTTTGGATCTTTTTTTTTCTTTTCCCCATCATTTATGGGTTATTTTCACTTTGGGGCTATTGTGAACATAGCTCATAGGAACATGTTTTTGTGTGAACATAGGTTTTCATATCTCTTGGGTATATACCTAGGAATGAAATTGCTAGGCCACCTGATAGCTGTGTCTTTTCAACTGTTTGAGGGACTGCCAGACTGTTCCCAAAGGC